CTTCATGCCACCATTCTCAGAGAAAGAAAATGGTTTCTTAATAACCTGTATTGAAAAATAGACAGGTTAGGTCTTCTTTCTAGTACTGATCATATTTTTCAGTTATTTTTCTTGTTTTGGGGGCTTTTTACCTTTTCTGGTTTGTTGTGACTCCTGTGATTCATCTGGAAGATGGCTCACGGATTGGCAGCTCTCAGCCCATTCTTGCACAGAGAGAGAAATCAGATTTCTCTTTAGGAGAGCCTCCTTCAGGTCCAAAGGATGGACAGGAGAACAACTCCCAACCCCAGTGCCCTGAGGCTGGCTCTTGCCTTTGTGGCAGAGTGAACTCAAGGTAAAACAGAAGAGCTGCTGTGACACAGCAGCACCCACACCTTCTTACCTAAAACGTGGGAAATTTCAAATTCCACTTGGCTTTTTGTGGAGACAGTAGGTGCAACTTTGGGTTAGCAGAGCTGTCAGCAGCCAGGGCACCCACTGCACATCTCAGAGCTGTCTTCCAGCCTGCGTTCTCTCCCACAAATTAGACTTAACCCAAGAGGAGCTAAATTATGTGTTGTCCCTTTGAGTTAACTTTCTTTTTGGTGACTAAACATAGTTTGCTCCTTTGGTAGCACCATCTACAGCAGAATAAAAGACATTTATTTATTTATTTATTTATTTATTTATTTATTTATTTATTTATCTATTTTTAATCTTATGGAGAAAACTATTGTCCAGGAATTTTTAGTCACTTCTGTCTGTATTAAAGAAAAGCTCTTCACTCACCACTTACCCCTCCAAATCTTTTCCTGCCAGAGATATTTTCTAGATTCTTCTTTACAGTTTCCTTTTCTTTTGGTCATGCTGTATATCCCAGGTCCAAATCCTGCACTCAGGATGAACTTTCTGTTCCTGGGTGTGTCTCTGCCTCTCACTTGGCAGAAGCCTGCCACTTCAGCAGAGCCTGTAAGCTGAGCCATAGACCATCCTGCCCAACATCAATCCTGCTACCTTGCAGTTTGCCTGGCAGCTCTGTTGTAGATGGAAGGATTGAAGGACACTCCCCTTTGCAAGTTATTTTCTGTGCATGTATATGGTGTTGAGTTTGGATGAGCGAAGACTGGTCCTCAGAGTGGTGGGTACTCCCTTGGTAACGGGGTCAGCAAAAGAGAAGAAAACTGCAGATTCTTATGGAAGTAAATAGATGTTTAAAAAAAATGACTGTTACTTTTCTCTAAGCAATGTTGAAATGTTTGTAAGTACATAGAACAGCATGTATTTTCTGTTCCAAAACCCCAGTAAAATGTCAATATTCAGATATTTCTCCAGAAAGCACCACACCAATCAGCATCTTGTCACTGTCGCCTGACCAAAGGAAGGCTCTGAGCTCATGGCTGTGCCTGTGCCCCCACAATGTCACACTGCTCTGTGCCCCAAGTCCCACAGAGCCCTCATCCCCTCCCAGCTGCCCACAGGCCCCACTTTGGCCTCCTTTCAGCTAAAGGTTAATTACTCCAGGGGACATTTCCATCCAAGCTGTTGCTCGCAGGTTGCAGTCCCTGCCTGAGTCCTATTTTTAGACCATCTCCTTCCTTGCTATTGATCCCAGTCACCCTCTGTTAATTAGATACACACAACACACACAGCATTTGCAACTCATTTATCAATTCTGTTCAGCACCTCCCTCCCCTGAGATGTAATTTGGAGCCCTCCTTGAATCATGCTATTGATCTTTCCCAGCAACTTTGCTATAGGATTCTGTGTGTTGCAAACTATTTATAGATTCCTCTTCTCCTGCTCTCCCTTGAGGAATCAGAAACGGGCAAAAGTAATCAGACTTCTATATTTAAGGAGTTGATCGAAACCAGATATTTCCTTTTTTCTCCACCTTTCCCCTCCTTCCCTTTGTTGCTGATCTGTACACACTTCTTTTGGCAGGTGAGACCTTGCTCCATGTCATGCTGTAACGATTCTGGTAACTCTCAGGTGATGTGATTCAGAATTTGCCCTGGGTGAACTCTTGTTTGCTGAATTGATGAAATGAATTCTTCCTCCTCCCTGCATCCATGAGTTTCCCAAAGGGCCTTGTGACCAGCTTCGTCCACTCAGCTTGGGGTGCACCTTTCAGAGGGCTTCAGTCTTGGAGGTTGACTTCTGATCTGATCCTCCTACAGGGCACTGGGTTCCCTTTGCCCCTCCATGCCTCAGGAAGGTATCCAAAGGCTTTAGGCCAGGAGTGAGACAGACAGAGTTGCTTTTTTGGATGGAGAATTACAGTAATGAGCCCTGTGGTCCTAGGATTTGAGAAAGACCTAAACCAAGGGAATGTAACCTGAGGCTCAGAGAAATCAGGACCAGCTCAGCCTTCACTGGGTAAGGCTAAAAATCCCAGCTCTAATGCAGGAGGATGCCTGCAATTATGAGCAAGACAACACTGGCTGACCAGGAGGGTCAGCCTTGTTTCAGGGAGTACAAAAAAGCAGCCTCAGGCTCCTGGGGTAACACCTGATGGTGAATGAGAGGCAGGATGTGGCTCTCATTCAAAGGAGCTGAGGGGTTGCAGCCTCCACAACCCCAGTGGGCAGTGGCTCAGGAGCCATGGGGCTGGGACTGGACCCTGTGGAGCCAGGCTGGCTCCTCTGAACCCTTGGGAACATTTTGCTGTGTGTATGTAGGTTGTATGCAATGAGTACAGAACCACAGAATGGTTTCAGCTGGAAGGAACATTAAATATCATCCAGTTCCACCCCTGTGACATGGGTCTGAGTGCCTGCCTGTGCTTTGGAGGATATGCTGAGGCTGGGGAAGGGCCTTTGCTGTGTGGCAGGCACTGGTGTGGCCAGGTTTTGGATCGTGTGATGCTGTGGTGCATTTGGTGGGGACATGAGGGAATTTTGATATGTGGGGCTGTGGTATTTGTGGCTGTGGTGTGCCGAGGTCAGTGTGGGGTGCCTGGGTGGAACTGTGATGTGTGGATTTCTGTGTGCATGGAGTATCAGCACACGATGTGAAGGTGTGGTGAGTGACTGTGCTGTGTGTGACTGTGGGGTGTGATTCTTGGGGCGTGTAGGGCTGTGCAGGTGTGTGCATGGGGGCCATGGTGTGTGACACTGAGGGTGTGCAGGGCTGTGTGTGTGTGTGCATGGGGGCCATGCTGTGTGACACTGAGGGTGTGCAGGGCTGTGTGTGTGTGTGCATGGGGGCCATGGTGTGTGACACTGAGGGTGTGCAGGTCTGTGTGTGTGTGTGTTCGGTGGTGTGCAGCGCAGGGCGTGCAGGGGATGCTGTGTGAGGCTCGGGGTGTGCAGGGGATGCTGTGTGAGGCTCGGGGTGTGCAGGGGATGCTGTGTGAGGCTCGGGGCGTGCAGGGGATGCTGTGTGAGGCTCGGGCCGTGCAGGGCTCTGCCTGTGTGTCGGTTCCGGCGGTCTGTGGAGGAGCGGCGGTGCAGCGGAGCCGTGCGTGGGGCCGCAGAGCCGCTGTCCCCGAGGCGGCGGAGGTGGCACAAACCTGTCCCGGCCGCTACGCGCGGCTCGGCTCGAGGGTGGGAGCGGCTCGGGGCTGTCCCTGCCGGGACGGCACAGCCCTCCCGCCGCCGCCGCCCGGCCCCGCTCGGCGGCCGGGGCGTGGCCGAGCCCGGGGACGGGGGGCGGGAGCCGCAGCCGCGCCGGGGGAGCTCCGCGGCCGCTCCCTGCCGGGGCGGCGCCGAGGGGGTTAAGGCGCTCCCCGCGGCGGGCCGGGGCGGGCTCCGCATCCCGCCTCCCGCATCCCGCATCCCGCCTCCCGCGCCGGAGCGGGCACGGGCACGGGCACGGGCACACACACACACTCACACACACACCCGCACACACGCCCGCACACACACGCGCAGGCGATGGCTGCGGGGCGCGGGCTCGCTTCTCCCCGAGATGATGTCAAGAGCCCGGGAGAAGGAGGAGGAGGACGGTCGCTCTTTTTCTTAACGGCTTTGTTCTAAAATCATCCAAAATAAAGCAGCCCCGGTACCGACCGCCGGGGTAGCAGCCGTGAAAGTACCCTTTCATTTTTCCCTCCTTTTTGCCTCTTTTTCTTTTTTTCATTTTTCTTTTTTTCATTTTTCTTTTTTTTTTTTTTTGGTCTTATTTTTCCTCTCGCCTCCGTCTTTGTGTCCGCCCGGGGCCGAACTGCCCTCACGCGCTCCCCGGGGAAGCCGCCGGCGATTCTCCGCTCCTCCCGGCGGCAGCCCGCGGCCGGAGCCAGCGCCCGCCACCGTCCCGCCCCGCCGCTGCCCCGGGCAGGTGCTCGGTCCGCGGCCGCCGCCGCCGCCTCCTCCCCGCCCGCCGGCCGGGGCGGCTCCGCGCCGCTCCTCCCGCTCGCGGAGCGCCGGCTCCCCGCCGCCAGGGCCACGCCGCCGGCCCGGCGCCCCCGCCTCCCGCCCGAGCGGCGGCGCGGCCCGGCGCGCCCGGGGATGCTGCCCCCGGCCCCGCGCCCGCCGCCTGACACCGCCGCCGCCGCCCTCGCCGCGCCGGACGCCGCTCCGCTGCCCACGCCGCGGCCACCTGCAGCAGCAGCAGCAGCAGCAGCAGCAGCAAAGGCAGCAGCAGCAGCAGAGGCAGCAGCAGCTGCCCGGCTCCCTGCCGCCCTCCGCGCACCGCGGCGGAAAGAATAGAGCGCCCAGCCCGTCCCGACCCTCCCGGCCGGCGCTCCCGCAGGCAGCCGGGGCCGGGGCGGGTCGGGTCCCCGACAGCCGGAGCCCGGGAGCCCTCCTCCCCTCGCCCCGCTCCTCCTCCGCGGATGGGCGCGCTGCCGCCGCCCGGCTCCCCCCGGCCCCGCCGCTCCGCCTGAAGAAACTTGGGACGGCGGCGGCCTCCGCCTCCCCGCCGCGCCCCGCCCGGGCTGCGGGCGACCCTTCCCCGCGCCGCCGCGCCAACTTCGCGGGGGGACCCGCCCGCCGCAGGACTCCGTGCCGGGGCCGCCGGCCCCTCGGCGGGGACCCCCTGCCCCTGGCCTCGGTGCTGGGGAGGAGCGGGGGGTGCCCTGGATGGCCCTGCGCACTGGGACGGCTTGGTTTGGGCAGGTCCTGCGCAGAGTTTCCCGTCTTCAGGGCACCTGGTCCCGGCGCTCCAGCAGCCTCCTGTGCCTCTCTTCTTCGCAGGAGCCCGAGCAGGCGGGCGGGGAGCGACCGCCGCCGCAGCACAAGCTGCCCCGGAGCGGCGGCAGCGGCGGCGGGCGCCGCCGGCCCCCCCGGCAGCTGCTCCCCTGCTGTAGCTGCTGCGGCCTGTCGGAACCCCGGGCGGCCAGGGGGGGACATGGTCCCCTCACTCGCCCCTTGCTGGCGGCCATGAAGAGGCAGAACGTGCGGACCCTGTCCCTCATCATCTGCACGTTCACCTACCTGCTGGTCGGGGCTGCCGTCTTTGATGCCCTGGAGTCCGACAACGAGATGCGGGAGGAAGAGAAACTCAAAGCCGAGGAGATCCGGCTCAAAGGAAAGTACAACATCACCAGCGAGGACTACCGGCAGCTGGAGTTGGTGATCATGCAGTCCGAGCCGCACCGCGCCGGAGTCCAGTGGAAATTCGCCGGCTCCTTCTACTTTGCCATCACGGTCATCACGACCATCGGTGAGTGGCTCCCCTCGGGGAGACCCTGTGGGGCCAAGGCCGGGGCTGGGGCAAAAACTTCCCGGGCTGGAAAAAAAAAAGGGAGAGGGGCAGGGAGGCTGTGGCATGCAAGGGTGTCTGTGCTGGATGAGTCTTTTTGCTTCCGTCCCATGTTACGTAATTTAATGCTCTTCTTGGGCACTTGTTGGACTTGAGGGTGTCCCGCGCCTCTTCTCCTGGAGATGGATCCTCTGTCTCTTGTGTGACTGGAGAAGAGTGGGGCTGGTCTGGCTAGGGGCATTGGCACTGCCAGGTGGCTACCATGGTGCTGTGGCTTGGATGGAGAGGAAGAGAGTGGAAGAGGGAAGAGGCAGAGTGACACTCCTGGGGTTCCCCTCAGGAAGAAGGCCCTGTTGTCACACTCCTTCCACCTTAAGAGACATGGGGAAAACTTAGGCAAAAAGTAGCAGGAAGAGAATGAAAATGATGAGGGCATGGGAACTGGATCAGCTGGGAAAGCCCTTCATGTAGCCAGACATGGGGTAGACCTGCTTTTGCAAACTTTGTTTTGGAGTTGGCAAGGGCAGTGGTGGTGGTTCCCACTGCTGTGCTCAAACCCTGGGCACTGACAATGTGTTCCTGGAGTTTTTATTACAACTGGAGCATCTGATGTGACAACAGGTCACAGTCTGTGTTTCCCCTTTGTGGGCACATAGTCTGCCAGGCAAAATGATGCTCGCTGTCACATCCATGCTGCCCAGCCTCCCAGATGTGCTGCTTCCCAGGACAGTCAAGGGGCAGTCAGTGGACACAGCCACAGGCTGTCATTTTGTACTTCCCTGCTTCCCACAGCTAAAGCTGAGAATTTGTCACGAAGTTTGCTTCTCTGCCATAAAAATAAATACCATGGTGATTAGAGGCTATGGAGTGCACACAGAACTGTGCTACAACTCTGGCTTTGGCTGGATGAGCAGGTTTACTCGTGCTGGTTTTGTGTTCTTTAAGGTGGATTTACTAAGGCAGTTGATAATGTTTTTTCTCCCAAAACTTCTAATACCTGTGGAGGTCTGAAAAGACCCCTCTAACTCAGTGGCTGTTTGATAGTGCATTAGACATGACAGGACATGAAATTAGTTCTCTTATTAATACAGAAGGACTCGGTCTTTTTGCCATGTAGGGACTGTTACAAGAAATTTTCACACTGCCACTGGAAGACACTGAGTTTTCAGCAGAACATGTTGTCCACTGCACTTTGAAAAGTGTCTGCTTATGTTTGTATTTGACTATATTTACCTGGGGCAGTAAAAAATTTCCTTTGAGTGACCATCTGACAGTATAAAGCCTATTTGCCCTTACAAAGATAAGATGTTTAAGGGTTAATTTCCTCGACCTTTCTGTTATTAGGTATATTAATACAAATGCATATATTATCAGGTTATAGAATATAAAGTAGAATGCAACTTTGGCTGATGATTTGTATTTCCCGCTGTTGGTTACAATGTCAGAACTCTCTTTCCTCCTTTGACCATGAGTCTCTCCTCCTCAGCCTGTCTCTTGCCACTTGTGTGTGCTAAGTGAATACTGTTCTGCTCCTCTGTGTTACAACAGCCTTCCACACACCCCTGTGTATTCACGGTGCCCTGTACTCCTGCCTAGGAGCTGCCTGCAATACTTGCTGTGTTCTTAAGCTCTGTTGCTGACAGAAAGGGCTGTTTGTACAGTACTTTGCTGTTTTGATGGTATTTTACCCATAAACAAGTACAACCTGCATGGGAAGTTGTAGCATTTTCTCCTTCAGAGGGCTGGGATTTGTTTAGGAAGCTTGGAGTACCTCAGAATGCATTTCTGTAGGCAGGGGTGCTTTGGGATGTATGAATTGTTTAAATTAAAAAATGTGTATAGCAACAGGGAACCACTGGGAGGAAGACTGATAATAAAGAATGGTGCAGAAAGTTACAGACATTCTGTAACAATTGTTCGCTTGGGAAGCTGTGCTCTGGGAGGATATCTGATCCGTCTTTCAAAAGTTTATTAATAGTTGCTCTCTGCATCTTGCCAAATGAAATTCTATTTTTTGTACCATCTCTTCAGTACTAAAGTGGCTTCATGATGTTATCTGATCTACAGCTAGTCTGTAAAAGTTAGCATGGAAGATTTTTCTTTAATTTCTTATTTATCCTAAACTAATTTGTCTCACAGATGGAGAAAACCCCCAAAAAACTACTTTGTTTAAGTTCTTAGAAAAATAAGAGTTGTTATCTTGTCCAGGGAAGTGACCTAAAATATTCATATTAATATTTTGTGCTGGTTATTTCTTTTCAAATCTGTGTGTATGCTCTCATATACATCTTTCTCCCTCTAAAACCTTTTGGACAGACTTCCAGAAGCACATACAGTGGGGTGTGCATTCGTGAACCTGCTTTATTCAGTAGATACTCCAGCAAAAGTGTGTCTTAACTATCATTGCAGGCTGACCTTTAAAAGAGAATGAACAAAGACCTTGCCTAATCTGGAAGGGTACCTCTGTCTCCACAAAACGTCCCTTCAGACAAAGCAGTGATAGGAATCAGCGGACCACAAAGTCGAGCAAGATGCATATGGTTGCAGATTAATTTATGTCTAACTTAATTGCACTCTGTGATATTGCCATGCTAGCAACATGTCTGGAGCGATTACTTCTTCACTGTGCTGATTTCAACTACTGTGGCTTTAATTTAATCAAAGGTGTTCATGGTTGGCCATGGCCCATCAGTAGCCAGGAAGAGGTTGGTGCTTCTCTTCCAGTGCCAGGGGACAGGTCCAACAGTGTCCCCAGACCATGGAACAGGTGCTCCATTGCCCCTGAGACATGGGGCTGAAGGGACAGCTCTGACAGTGTCCCCAGTCTGTGGTGCTGAAAGGACACCCACCCATGGCAGTGGCCATGGTACTCAAGGTCTAAGTCTGGCAGTGCCCCCACTCTGTGGTACTGGAGGAACAGCTCTGGCAAAGTCCACTGTCCATGGTGCCGAAGGGACAGCCCCGGCAGCGTCCCCTGTCCATGGTTCTGGAGGGGGAGGGACAGGGACAGAGACAGGGACAGGGACAGGGACAGGGACAGGGACAGGGACAGGGACAGGGACAGGGACATCTCAGGCAGTGTCCCCGGTCCGTGGTTCTGCAGGGACAGCTCCGGCAGTGTCCCCGGTCCGTGGTGCTGGAGGGACAGGGACAGCCCCGGCAGTGTCCCCGGTCTGTGGTGCTGAGGGACAGGGACAGCTCCGGCAGTGTCCCCGGTCTGTGGTGCTGGAGGGCCAGGGACAGCCCCGGCAGTGTCCCCCGTCCGTGGTTCTGCAGGGACAGCCCCGGCAGTGTCCCCGGTCCGTGGTGCTGAGGGACAGGGACAGCTCCGGCAGTGTCCCCGGTCCGTGGTGCTGAGGGACAGGGACAGCTCCGGCAGTGTCCCCAGTCCGTGGTACTGGAGGGACAGGGACAGGGGCAGGGGCAGGGACAGGGGCAGGGACAGGGACAGCCCCGGCAGAGCCCTCGGGCTGCGGTGCTCGGGTTCGGTTCCCATCCGCCGCCGCCGCAGCTCCGGACTCCCCTCCCCGGGCAGGCTCTGCCGCTTGTTGCTCGCCCTGGAATCGCATCATTAAAGACCTGTTTGGAAGGGACCGTGAAAACCTGAAAATCTCCTGTGTTAGGCAAAGCACTGAGATTTGGTCAAGTCTCTCATTTTCTCTAATCTATGGTATTTGGCTTTTATTGGTGGATGCTTTGGGGTTACTGCTCACTTGTTAAGCTGAGTATTAAATTAAAAAGTGAGAGCTAATCAAGTATATGAAAACAGTTTTTTTTTTTTTAACCTGGGGCAGAACATGTGTTTCTATTCCTCAGGTACAATGTTCATGTTCTTTCTTTCTTTCCTTTTTTCTTTTTCTTTTAAACCAACACAACAATGGAAAGGTTGACAACAGCAGGTGCTACAACACTCGATGAGTCTGCTCTTAAAATCAATTAGCAGAAAATCCTCTCCCCCTCCCCTTCTTCTCCCCCCAGCTTCTACAAAGTTTTGGCTGTGTTTGAATTGTGTAAAAGTCTTTCGGGGATCAAAAAGAGTTAATAAGCTTTTTTTGGCTCTCACCAGGTGCTGCATTCATTTCAGGACTGTTCTTGTTTCAGAGTGAGCTAGTATGAATTCCTATCCATTTCCACTTGCAGAGTCAAAATGATGAAAAAGAGTGGTTTAATGAAGCTCTTCATCCAGCTATTTGTCTTTTATGAGATATGCTGTAGAATATGCCACAGAGTTCATCTAAAGGCTTGATACTATGAATAAAAACACCACCTTACAAAAACAAAGGGTTATTTCTAGGATTTCTAGCAAGTTTTAATGCCCTTTTCTATAGGTCATTAAACTGCTTTTCTGTAAGCAGGTGTCAACACTGTCAAAATGTGTTATTGGTATGGATATCGCTCTATCATTTAGGCCTTAAAGGGTGATAGTTGTACTTGATTTAACACCACCAAACTCTAGTAAACACTGAATATTTCTGGAGGCTTATGCGGAATGTAAAGAACTGAAAGCTGCTTGTGTCACTGTAAATTGAACTGAAACAACTAACAGATTGAAAATTGTTATTCATTTATTTTTTCCTGAGAAGTGACTCTAAGGGGAGCAAAATTAAGGCAGTCTGTGCTGTGAATTATGAGTCTCTTTTTGTAGCTTTTAGGACTGTTTTCAGTTTTGAACCTACGATAAGCAGTGAGTGAACTATTCAGATAAAATACTTTTTTAAAGAATGTCATGCAATACCTGTAATGGTGAATGGAACACCCACCTATTGACAGCTGGTTGGCTGCTGAGTAGCCAAACACTCAGGAGCTGTCTGCATCCAGATGAGGACATTTCATACTTCTGGCAGATGGTGTCCTGACAGGGAGTTTGAACCTGCATTAATGAACTGAGCAAACACATGCTTAAATCCATTTTGGGGTAGCAGTTGGTTGAGTCTCCGTGTTCTTTCTCTGCATTGTTCTAC